CCATTTCAAGAGTAAAACAGGGTAAGTAAAATGCCGATCAAGATGAAAATTTGACTTTTTTCACACAGATACACACACACACACACACACACACACACACACACACAGCAAGTTCATAAGACGTCGAACGAAATCGCTAAGCTTCTTCGGTAATGTGCTTAATAACCGCAAATGTCGTAGGTCGAATTCGCGTAGTCGTTTCCCAGAGTAGAGTTTACTTCCGCGTTTCCAAAATAACTAACTGTCCGCTCCCCGGAATACGCCTTGTGCTAGGTCCACATATTTTGATTGCTTATCTGTTTCGGCTTTCAAGAGGTTCTCGACATACGGAATGGTAATGTCGACCAAAAATATCCTTGACCGTGCCCGGTCTATCAGCACAATATCAGGTTTATTATCAAGAATGGTCCTGTCTGTGATGATGGCCCGGTCGCAGTAGAGCCTTGCGCGGTCATTTTCGAGCACGGCCTCCGGTAAGTACTTATAATAAGGCAGTTTTCGATCAACGAGACCGTATTTCAGAGCGAGCTCCTGGTGTAGAATCTTGGCTACTAGGTTGTGCCTGTGCAAGTACTCAGAGTCAGAAAGGGCCGAACAATCGAAGATGACATACCTAAGTGACTCACCGGCGAATGCTACACGCGCGATATTTATCACGATCTGGGACGTGATCTGGAATGACGTATCGCGATCTATATCGACACACCCTACACGTTCATTATGGATCACGTCAGTATTGGGCACAAAACTGTTAAGTGTAGACATATCTAAAATGGACTGAAATGTAGAAAAAGCTTTTTTTAATAGGATAGGGTCACAAACGAGCACACAGTCCACCTGATGGTAAGTGGTTACTGTGGCCCATAGACATGTACATCTATACTCGATTACAAATCAAAATGCAGATGCGTTGTCACCCATGAGGACCAAGATAGAATGCCTCGTTTCCATTAAAAGGGTCTCTGGTTCTCTACACTCACCATAAAAACAGAGCAGTATTAAGCTACTATATTACGCTGGTATTCTGTGAGAGCGTGGTCCTTCCCCGGTCAAGCCGAACTATTTGTGCTACAACTATCCATACTAATATTATAAATGCGAAAGTGCGTTTGTTTGTTTGTTCTTCTTTCACGTCGCAATAGAGCGTCGGCATGGCATGAATTTTGGGGATAGTTCCGTGGCTGTAGGCTACTTTTTCCGCGGAAAATCTTCTTCCGTGAATTGATAATTCATCACTCTACACCTCATTCCCGTGGGAAAATAGAATATGTTGCAAAATTAAATTCAGCTAGGTGGCGCCACCGTTTAACTACCAAAATTAAGATAAAAAATGTATGGATCTGTATTTTTCCACGCAGGACCGGGAAGAGAGCGATAAAAAACATAAAATTCACCAGATGATTTTCTTCAAACGTTTTGGTGCATTGTAATTCACAGAATAGGCGATAACCTCGCAGACGATATTAAGTAATCCGTTGATGCTCTGCCTACCCCGCAAGCGTTACAGGTGTGATTATAAGTATGGATCAGAAATACTGTCACCACTTGTCACGCTTTTACCCTTAACTATTACTTAACTGTGGGAGAAACAGTTCTTAGTAAGTCTTATTAATAAGCCTTAGTAATATTTTATGAACGGAAATGAATACAGTTCTTATATGTGGTTTTGAATGAATCGGTACCTGACATGTACTTAATTCCCGCCGTTTAGCCGCGCGTCAACTTATAGTGCATACGGTACCTATACGCTTAAATTGTTTCTATTTCGTAGCTTATTCGACTACCTGCTTTCGATTTCGATTGTTAGTTATTTGCTTTGTGATTTTATTAAGGTTGAATGGATTTATATTGGCTTTCATTTTCGAATTTGTGTATTTTCTTGGATCGGTTTTGTTGATTTGGTTGGTATTCCTTTATACATATTTATACTCTGACTTTGATTTTGGATTTTGTTTATTTAGAATCGTGAATTGATTTTCGCTGTTTTAGGTTGTTTAACAATATTTCAAAGGAATATTAAAAGTATAGATAGTGTATACGGTACCTATACACTTACTTCTTTTTTCGTTGGTTATATTTATATTGACTACTGCTTTCGATTTTGGTTTTCTGCGATTTGTTTTGTGATTTGGTTTAAGTTGATTCGATTTTTTTTGGCTATCGTTTTCGGATTCGTGTTGTGTCTTAAATTGGTGTTGTTGTTTTGATTTTAAAAAATATTTAAACAGAATATTTATTCCTTTTAGATATTTTGGATTTGTTTTGAAAAAATATTTAAAAGGAAATTTAATTCCTTTAAGGTATTTTAACATTTTTTATAAATAGTTTTTTTGTTACTTCATAATGCCTCGCAAACGTAAGTCCCGCCTTTCAAGAGTATCTTCTCAAAGACAAGCGAAAAGATTAGCTCGATCTTTAGAAGATGCTGAACTGAGAAGGCAAGAACAAGCAGAGCGTCGAGTTGCTTTTAGAGCATCTGAGACACCTTCTCAACGTCAGCAGAGGCGTCTTGAACAGACAGAGCGTCAGGCTGCTTTAAGAGCTTCCGAAACACCTTCTCAAAGTCAGGAAAGGCGTCTTGAACAGGCAGAGCGTCAAGCTACTTTAAGAGCTACTGAAACACCTGCTCAAAGTCAGCAAAGGCTATTCGAACAAACGGAACGTCAGGCCGCCTTAAGAGCCGCGGAAACACCTGATGAAACTCAACACAGACTCATTGAGCAAGCTGAACGTCAATCTACTATAAGGGCATCTGAAACACCAGAACAGACACATGCGCGGAGAGATGCAAATGCACAGCTCCAAGCTGAACGTCGACAAAATTTTCAAAGAAACAATTGGTTTCAATTCAGTTATGATCCGATGATTGATTATAAAAATCACAGGTTAGTTGTTATGGGACTGATGAACAAGGCGTGTCGATTTTGCAGTGCTTTAAAATGGAAAGATGAGACCGCAGGCGTGTGCTATTCCAATGGCAAAGTGTCTCTTCCGTTACTTGGGGAACCAGAAGAACCTTTGAAAACTCTCTTTTTATATGATGCCAATGAGTCACGGCGCTTTTTAAACAGGATCCGGAAATATAACTCATGCTTTCAAATGACGTCCTTCGGAGTTGATCGGGAAATAATAATGCCGGGATTTTCGCCTAAATTTACGGTGCAAGGACAAATGTATCAAAGAATAGGTTCACTTTTTCCAGCTGAAAACGAACAGCATAAATTTTTACAAGTATATTTTATGGATGACGAAGAAATTGAGGTAGACTGTCGCTGCCAATTTATCCAGGGAGTTGAGAGAGACACAGTATTCAAAATTCAAAGATTCTTGCATGAACGTAACATTTTAGTCAAAACATTTAAAACTGCTTTACAAAACCTACCTGAAGAGGATTATAAAGTCGTCATTCACGCAGATTGGACCCCTCGAGGAGAGCATGAAAGGCGCTACAATGCACCTTTGATAAACGAAATAGCAGCCGTAATTAGTGGTGATCAATTTTCTTCACGAGACATTGTCTTGCGAGCACGTGATGATACGTTGCAACGGGTAGCCGATACACACAAGTTTTATGACGCTCTACAATACCCATTGATTTATTGCAAAGGACAAGAGGGTTATCATTTTCAAATTCCACTCATTAATCCGCTCACAAAGGAGCCTACTCTGAACAAAAAAGTATCATGCATGGATTTTTATGCGCATCATATGATGTTGCGAGAAAATGATTTTAACCTCTTAGCCCGGTGTATACAATTATTTCATCAATTTTTGGTAGACATGTTTGTGAAGGTAGAAAGTGAACGTCTCCGGTATATATCTTTAAATCAAAAAAAGCTGCGCGTTGAGAATTATATACATTTACAAGATGCAGTTTCTAGCGACGGCAATGTAAACCCCAGAGATTTAGGTAAAATGGTAATTCTGCCCTCATCATTCGCTAACAATCTCGCTCTGGAGCGTTCGAAACCTTAGATACTGGATTGTCCCGTATTCGCCCATTCTATGTAATATGTTTAATGCCCACATTAATGTAGAAGCATGTAGCTCTGTCCGCGCAATCAAGACTTGATTGAGTGCCGATGGTCAATCTGTTGGCGGCGGCGCGCCGACTTTTAGAAGTCAGGGGCGGCGGCGGGACCTTCATAACCTTACTTTAAGAGAAAAATTAAACAAAAATTTACGTATAAATATTTATTATAATTTTGACATGACGAATTGATAAGATAAATTATAAAAGAAAAATGAAATTAAACGTCTTATATTCAGTAACATAGCTATATATCAATTGGAAATTAGGAACATAAAACCCGCTTCAATTACCTACATTATTAAATGTTGAAATATTAAATAATCAACAACAACAATCAACAGTATCTTTTAATCTTCTACTCAAGGTACTATCATATAAATATTACAACATATAGAAATCATTCATATTAAAAAGAATTATAATTATAATTCAAATTATAAACATTATTTAAAACTTTAACGAATTCATCATAACATAGGTTCAGTCAGTTAAAAGGTGAAATATCAATTAATTCAAATGTCGGTTTCTCGTTTGCAATGACTATGTTGTCATGAATAAATATTATTCGGTTTAACCTTAGGGGATTTAATCGAGACCATTTAGCGGTTATTACCTGCCCTGCAACAGAGAAACACGCTTTCGCTTGGGGTACTTGTCGCCGGTACAAACAATATTGCTCGAGCCAAAGTTGACAACCATGGAAAGGAAATCTTTCTGTCTTTCCAGAACATCAATACATCACCGTCGTAGGGCTGTAGATCTTTGACACTAGCTGTGCTAAAATACCTCCAGCATTCATTTTCAACCACGGTGTCAATATCAGTGGATGTACTGCTGTGCTTTTCAACCAAATACATCAAAAAATTTGACGGCGTAGGCGCGGAACTTGGTCCAGGTGTTGCATCTCTTACTGGGTCAACAACATCCTCCTCTTTCAAAATATTCTTTAAAAAATTCGACAAAAATGCTACTTGGTGTCTTGACTTTCCATATAAATGTCGATTTCCTTAATTGATTGAAACCTACAATCCAATAAAGTAGCCGCCACAATGGTGTCTGTAACAGGAAAGCGATGGTCCAAACGTTGTAACATGTTGTTTTTTAGTCTAGTGACTGTGACAGGTTCATCGTCGTTGTATTCTTCTAGCAACCTTCTAATTTCTGATTTAAAAACCAATGCTAAATTAATAGTGTTTTGTGATTCATTGCTTAAGCATTCTACTGTCTTCTTAAACTTATCAAAGAACGATGTCAACCTAGTAGTTAAATTGTACTCATTCTCATCTAGTAAAAGAGCACTACGACCTATATCAATCAACATGTCTCTAATGGGTTGGCGATTTGCATTGTGGCTGATGCTTGTTAGCATCATAAGCATGCTGTGCCATCTCGTTGGTGTACTCGTCTTTATAGTTGGAGGGGCGCTGGGGTCAGATCTTGTCGAAACCTCATCTAGTTCATAATCACTCGATGAAGCTTCGTTATCCGAGTGATTTATATTTACACCAATATCTTCAAAGGATGAGAGCAGATCACGTTGTTCTTTGCTGGCACCGGCTTCTAGTTGTGGAGCTCTATACCTGAAGTGCTTGACTATTTTCTTACATTTATTAATAAGGCAAAGAACCGCATCAGTATTCTGAATACCATCTACGGTGACCAGATTATGCAAAGCATGGCCCAGGCAAAGATGATTTTTCATATTCAATAAATCAGCAGCTCTTTTCATATTACTGCCAGAGTCGGTCACAAGAACAATATCTTTTTGTGGAATCTGAAATGTCCGTAAAATACCTTGAATTTCTTCTCTAATCTTTTCACCTGTATGTTTTAAAATAACTTGTTGGGTAGCTAGCGTGAATTTCAAAAGTTTCATCACATGAGAAATAAAATTGGTATGTCTATAAATCTGTTATTAGTGCATCAAATTTTATATTTTGTTTTTTAATAATACTCTGTACATATGTTAACATACTATTATATACATCTTCTAGCCCCTCTCGGCATAATATTCCGTGAGGGTAGATCGTCATCAGCCACAATTATATTATATTTTTTTTAAAAAATCAATCATGGCTTCATCATTTATGCTGTCGAATGGCAATAGTGACCTGGCGAACCATAGTGCGAGATCTCGCGCAAGCGTCCACTTGTCTTTTTTCCACCAGTTACACCACTTTTTGTGACTGGTTTTGATTTTCTCTGTACGGAAAAAATCCTTAATGGGGGCTACTTTTTTGTTCTATTTTGAGAATCTTCTAAGTTATGTTCGTCCTTTAATTGACGCAGTAAATTGCTGGTGGCTATATTTTTACTGTAGGCTTTGACGAGTGCTCTGAAACAAAATTAAAGTAATTTTATCTGTCAAGCTTCCAACAATACCTTAGATAAAATGAAAAATATAATCCCAATAAAAACGTAATATGCCAATCTCACGGAAATAAAGAGCACCAAATATTTCAACTACTAACATTTTATAGTTAAAAAAAACAAATGTACCTACCTATATTACCAATGTTAAATAGAAATAAGACCCTATTAAAACATTCATACCTTTTTACTTGTTAAATTACTAACCACGTAAAAAAAGCTATCAACAGATAAGTAGGTTGGTATTTAATTATTTTAAAATAAACGAAGACACATAAACTTACGTGGAAAAATGCACACTGCCATCTTTTTCTTTTGCTTGTTTCAAACAAGCGTCACAAAACACTTGCTCGTCCAACACTGTTCGTTTTTTCCCTCAATATTAATAACCAAATGACCAAAATAAGTCCAACAAAAACTGTTTTTGTTTGCTGATAGCTTGGACAATACAGAAATTGTAATGTCATAGAGTTTCGTTTTATAAACGTCTACGTCTAGTGCCGCCATTTTGTCAGTATTTAGGCAGACGTGCGTTCGGTTTAGTCAGCGTGTTAGGTTAAACTGAATGCCATTGCCACCGCTCGGAATCGGCGGTCGGGTCGACGCGCCGGCGCCAGGAGTCGGCGGCGGCGGCGCGGGGGGAATCACGGCGGCGGCGGCGCGCCAACGCGGCGCTCATATCTAGTATATAGTAAGACCACGAACACTGATGCCAATAATCAGGAACCAAGTAGCTCAGAAACCGGACAATCCGGGGCGACCAGTGTGCAAGGTCAGGTTATGACGTTTTTCTCAACCGGTAGATCATACGAGCAAGTTTTTTTGGCTACTGCTTTAGTGCAAGCTAAGGCACAAAATTGCAGGAATTATACATTGCGAGCTTTGTTGGATCAAGTTTCGCAAGCGTCTTTCGTAACGGAAGCCACGGTGCAGTATCTGAACCTTAAAAAGTTTCCGATAAAGGATAATATTATGGGAATAGGTGGAAACAATAAGGCAGTTTCCAGGGCAATGGTTACGTTGACGATTCGTTCGAGAGTTGATCCAGATTTCGTGATTTTGGTGAAGGCTTATGTGCTAAACCTTATCACGGCACTCTTACCTAGTAAGGAGATGCCACCGATGAAATGGCTGGAACTCGATGAAATAGAATTAGCAGACTCAGGATACAATATACCTAACAGAATGAATCTTCTGTTTGGAGCGGAATTTTACACCCAAGTATTACGGGACGGAAGGAAAAGGAGTCCTAATGGATTAACAGTAGCCCAGTTTACTGAATGGCTTTGGGCTGGGTGCTGTCTGGTGGTATTACCAATGCAAAAATACCAAGGTCAAACATAGTAATGTTCCACTCACGCATTGATGATGATGCGTTACTCAGAAGATTTTGGGAACTGGAGTCGGATACAGAACCCACTAAACTGTTGTTAACAGAGGAGGAAATTCAGTGTGAGGATTATTATAGTAAGACTACTTACCGAGATGTCGATGGCAGGTTTGTAGTTCGCTTACCTTCCAAACCCAATGATCCAAGTTACAAGCATGACACGTGCAGGGAAATAGCTGAAAAAGGTTAAATTCATTAGAAGCAAGGTTAAACAGAAATACGGAACTAAAGAATAAATATAAGGAAGTAATGAATGAATACTTGGAGTTGCAACACATGGAGAGAGTGTCAGACCTACAAAAATACCTAGAGACGGCGCTCTACTTACCTCATCACGCGGTAGTACGTAGCGATAAAGATACTACGAAAGTAAGAGTGGTATTCGATGCAGATGTTGACAGTCAAAGATTGTTGTGGCGGGATGATCCATCTTCGGAATTAGTTGATCACCGCCTTCTAAGAGTCACATTTGGTACTGCGTGTGCCCCATTTCTGGCCGTTAGGTCATTGCAACAGGCTGCTCGGGATGTGACGGATGGTACCAAGCAATATGCTTGTCAAAAAATACTAAATGACTTCTACATGGACGATCTAATGACGGGATGTGAAAATGTTGCGGATGGAGTCAAAATATATAAGGACATCAGTGACATATTAAAGGGAGCTGGGTTTAAAATGCAAAAATGGACCAGTAATAATAATGAACTTCTTCAGGAAATTAAGAAACTAGAAGGAAAGGGAAAAAAAGAAAAGGATAATGGATTACATGTAAAAATGAATGAAGTGACGAAGGTACTGGGTCTTACCTGGAAACGTAGCACAGACACTTTTCAGTACGTCGTTGCTTTACCGGAACTTGTGGAACCTGTAACAAAAAGGAACATTATTTCGGATAGCTGTCGTCTATATGATCCGCTAGGTTGGGTAGCACCTAGTGTAGTCTTAGCGAAGATAATAATACAAAAGATGTGGCTTACAGGAATAGACTGGGACTAAGAAGTGCCAGAGCAATTAAAATTGTAATGGAATAACTACAGGAATAATCTTGAACACTTATCTGATTTTAATCTTCCTAGATGATTGCTTTTGAAGTCAAGGGATGCCCAACTTCAACTTCATGGATTTTGTGATGCCTCTCAAGCTGCCTACGGAGCTGTAGTGTATCTTCGTGTGATCGATTCCACAGGCAACAGGGTTCCCTCCCTGCTGATGATGCACCACTTCTTGCCGCAATCCCGTTCGAAGGACCAATGTGCACCACTGAATAGGTTGTTCACTATGGTTAACATAGTGACAGCAAATATCAGTAACAGTCCTTCGGACTCTCCCCATTAGAGGGAAGGAACCTTGCCGCGAATCAGCGCAGTCGAAAAGTACATCATCGTGTGGTGTACATTTGTATCTTCGTGTGATCGATTCCACAGGCAACAGGGTTCCCTCCCTGCTGATGATGCACCACTTCTTGCCGCAATCCGGCTCGAAGGACCAATGTGCACCACTGAATAGGTTGTTCACTATGGTTACCATAGTGATAGCAAATATCAGTAACAGTCCTTCGGACTCTCCCCAGTCGAAAAGTATATCATCGTGTGGTGTGCAGGAGGAATGGTGGTTTTACTGGCTGGTGACTTTCGCCAAACTTTACATGTCATTCAAAAGGGCTCACGTCGTCTATTTTATGGAACAAGGTGACAAAATTCAGTTTAACTACGAATATGAGAGTGCATTTGTATAAGGATATCAATGCTGGAAACTATGCACTATCAAAAATTGGCGATGGGCGGTTGGAAACGGATACTGAGGGCTACGTTATATTGACGAGAGATTTTTGTAATTTAGTACAGAGTCATTCCGAATTAATTGGGAGCATTGATTCTTATTTAACGAACAACATGTGCATGAAGACAAATGGTTATGTGAAAGGGCGATTCTTGCACCAAAAATGTGAGCGTTAACAAAATAAATTCAGATATATTAAGCGAAGCAGCAGGAGAAATAACAGATTATTTGTCAGTAGACACAGTTATGGACACAGAACAGTGTACTACATATCCCGCAGAGTTTCTAAATTCTCTAGAGTTGTCAGGTGTGCCCTCACATAAGCTTCAATTAAAATTAGGCGTCCCAGTCATGCTAATGCGAAATTTAGATGCTCCTCGCTTATGTAACGGGACAAGGCTGCGTGTGACACATCTTGAACGGAACAATCGGTGCTACAATTTTGACAGGCGTAAGAAAAGGTGAAAATGTTATACCACGGATCCCTATAATTCCTACAGATCTTCCTTTTCAATTCAAAAGTTGCAGTTCCCTATTAAGCTCAGTTTTGCAATGACAATTAATAAAGCGCAAGGGAAAACGTTACAGGTAGCGGGGATCAACTTAGAAAAACCGTGCTTCTCTCATGGTCAGCTGTATGTAGCACGTTCGCGTGTGTCAAATGCCCAGAATCTCCACATTCATTCCCCGAATGGAAAAACATATAACATTGTGTGCAGTAGCGTCTTAAAATAGTGTTCAGTAAGTTTTTATTTCAAAATTCCCACAACCAATTAATCAGAATTCCCACAGATCTTCCCTTTCGATTCAAAATTTCTTATTTAGCTCAGTTTCTTTTCAACTGCATCTTCTTTTCAACTGCATCAAAGCTGCATCTCTGACGAATTAATTTAGATCAGTTTCTTTTCAAAAGTCTACATCCCTGACGGATAATTATGCTCAGTTTCTTTTAATTGAAAAAATATCCCATTTCCATTTGGAATAAACAGGCTATTTTCATGCTTTCCTATACGCTGCATTTCAAAACATTTAAATAGGCTGAAGAATCAATTTTGCTCAGTTTCCTTTTAATGGCTGCATCTCTGAAAAATCTATAAAACTCAGTTTTCTTTCAATTCAAAAAGCAATGGATAGTTCATTTCCAAGTGACCATGCGGGCGAAGCACGGGTAACAGCTAGTACTACTAATATAACTGCAGCATGGCTCTACCACATATGAAAGCTTGTAACTAACCACATGTGTAAAAAAATGAGAGTGTCGATTTTAACGATTTTTTTTCTAACATCTTCTATTGAAGCGTCATTTTTTATTTTTTATAAATTGGTAGTGGCTTCTG